GTTCTGACATTTTTAGCGGAATGCGAGGGCACAGATCCCTAACATGTACGTGCTGTGCGTCTATAATTAAATTGATAAATTTTACAAAATCGAAAACTGAAGCTGTTGGTCCAGCTGCTGAAATTTCTTAATTTATTCCGAACTACTGTATTGCAATCGTCAATCGCTGGATTTCCAATGGACCTTTCGGGGAATGATCACGTCTTAAATACGATTACATTTAGCATAGGCGATAATTTTTAAAGCTTCCGGACGAATTCGCGTCAGAGAAATATTAAATGAAATTTTGTCACCCAAGATTTAAAACGCGCTTGTAAAATGCCGACTTTTTCTCTGATGCACAGAAGCAGTGACTCTCTTGGATCCTGTTCCAGTGTTCGGCGTAAAGTTGTTCTCTTATTGAATTACGTGGAATGCATCAGAGCGAGTCTGTGGAGCAGCGATTTAGTCTTGTTCCTGCTGTGAGCATCACAAGAGCGGGACTTCTAGGATTATGTAACGCTGTTCCAATTCTCCGAACATGGCAACGATAATCGGAAAGGATCATGGGTCTCAGGTTCAACAACAAAAAAAAGAACAAAAGATAATCATCATAAAAGCCTAACGAGAACCGCTGCAGCCGGAGAAGCTGAAAGAATTTGATTGCTCACGATCAATTTGTCATTAAGCATTCCCCTTTTCTGATGGCCCATGAGAGGGAGCTGTATGCCACGTGATGGCCGGTTGATGCCCCGGGGCTCTGCGCTGCCGGGAAACTTTTGCCTACTCACTATTATACCACTCATCCATAGATCCAGAAATGATTACTGAATATATGAAGATTGCTCCGGCGCCTGAGTGCTCCTGTCTTTAGAAATATTTTCGAACGGAGAAGACCGAGTTTTTTTTATCGTTATCCCCTGCGAGTTCCAAGTGCCGAGAGACGAGTCAATTCAAGTTGCTGATGTAAGGCGCGTGTGCGATGCTATTTTCCAAAACCGGGATCCTGCTGCCTTTGGAGCAAGATTTCCTGAACTTCCGGATCCTGATTCTTGCAGGAAAAAGTATCTTGCTTCTTTCAATCTGGGGAAGATTACTTGTTAATGATGAAACATAATGCACTTCATAAGGCAGAGAAATGAGAGGTTTAAACCTAGAACCTGTGTCAAGGCGCAAAATCGCCCTCTATATGTTTTTATTAAGATTGAAGAGAGAAGCATCTGGACAAAAATCGTCCTGGAGTGCCACGACTGCAGAATACTGTGAATTCTGCAAAATGGATGTGCTCTCTAGTGTTACCAACAACTCAGTATCCACCGAGTTATTTATCAGAAACAGTCGTACGCGTATGAACAAAAAGCCACAACAAGAGGGTACTTTACTCCTGGTCAATTTTATCTTTTTATCCAATTCATCCTTTTAAATCATCAAATCGATCTGTCTTACAGCTGTTGGTAGTTTTCTGCAGAACCTGCATGGTTATACATCTGAATGGAGGCTCAAATACAAGTTCCGATTGGACCGAGTCTGACGCGAAGAACGTACAAAATTTTGATGTTTGTAAAAATTGCTGAATCCCTGCTAAGGATCCTTTTGCAGGTTCTTTCGCGTAATTTATTCCCTAATTTTGTTACAATGATTACCGCGTATATTCATGCAGAAAAGACGATTAATCAAGTTGTTCTGACATTTGTAGCGGAATACGAGGGCACAGATCCCCAGCATGTATGTGCTGTGCGGCTATAATTAATTTTACAAAATCTAAAACTGAAGCTGTTGGTCCAGCTGCTGAAAGTTCTCAATTTCTTCCGAACTATTGCAAACGTAAATCGCTGGATTTCCCATGGACATTTCGGGGAGTGATCACGTGTTAAATACGATTACATTTAGCTTAGGCGATAACTTTTAAAGCTCCTGAACGAACTCGCCGCAGATGTATATTTAATGAAATTTTGTCACCAAAGATTTACAGCACTTGTAAAATGCTGAAATTTTCTCTGATGCACAGCAGTGACTCTCTTGGATCCTGTTCCACTGTTCGGCGTACAGTTGTTCTCTTATTGAATTACGTGGAATGCATCAGAGCGAGTCTGTGGAGCAGCGACTTTGTCTTGTTTTTCTGCTGTGAGCATCACAAGAGCGGGACTTCTAGGATTATGTAACGCTGTTCCAATTTTCCGAACATGGTAACGATAATCGGAAAGGATCATGGGTCTCAGGTTCAACAACAACAAAAAAAGAACAAAATATAATCATCATGAAAGCCTAACGAGAACCGCTGCAGCCGGAGAAGCTGAAAGAATTTGATTGCTCACGATCAATTTGTCATTAAGCATTCCCCTTTTCCGATGGCCCATGAGAGGGAGCTGTATGCCACGTGATGGCCGGTTGATGCCCCGGGGCTCTGCGCTGCCGGGAAACTTTTGCCTACTCACTATTATACCAGCACTCATCCATAGATCCAGAAATGATAACTGAATATATGAAGATTGCTCCGGCGCCTGAGTGCTCCTGTCTTTAAAAATATTTTCGAACGGAGAAGACCGAGTTTTTTGATCGTTATCCCCTGCGAGTTCCATAGTGCCGAGAGACGAGTCAATTCAAGTTGCTGATGTAAGGCGCGTGTGCGATGCTATTTTCCAAAACCGGGATCCTGCTGCCTTTGGAGCAAGATTTCCTGAACTTCCGGATCCTGATTCTTGCAGGACACGTTACANAGTGCCGAGAGACGAGTCAATTCAAGTTGCTGATGTAAGGCGCGTGTGCGATGCTATTTTCCAAAACCGGGATCCTGCTGCCTTTGGAGCAAGATTTCCTGAACTTCCGGATCCTGATTCTTGCAGGACACGTTACATCATAGCATATATTCCTTGAAGAAAAAAAATGTTTACTTCTATTTCTCGCTGCTGTTGCAAAGTGAATTTCGAGGTGCGCCTTCCCTTCCATTGAATCTTCACCGGGTCATGGGCTCTTTCTCCCGCATGCATTTCATACCCCCCCCCCCGTGAGTTGACTGGCCTTTTTATTTCCCCGGCGATCAGCAAGGTTTCCATCATGCGGTGCTGTATGCAACTTTCACGACTTCGCGCACTGCATGTACATGTGAATCACTCGATATCGATCGGTTGACGGTTGCTTTTGCTGAACAGGATGAGTTAAGAATTAAGTAATACCCACTGTGCTATCATGTGATCATGATGATACAGTAATTCAGACGACAGGTGATCATCGATCATCTGCACATCATAATCTAGTGATTGGAGAAACATAGCGGCGGTGGACTAGTTAACTTTAAGCGTGTCCTGCGGATGGAACAAACAGACTCGTACCGACATCTAGGTACAAATCGCTTTCGACACCACAGTTATTTGTTATGACTGGTCCGCCGTCCGGCAATGGATCATACCTGCTGAAGGTATCCTACTTCAGTAATGACTTATTCGTTTTGTTGATTTCGTCGAATGCATTTAATTTTTTATCATTAAAGTGGAAGCTTTTTATGATCCTTAAAGCTTTGCGAAAATTACTGTACAGTATTGGACTAGTTACCGAAAAATGAACCCCAACCCGCTAGTTCATGCAATTTTGTTTGTTGAGGCTGAAGTAATACTGTACTGTATATTATACGAGGCACACAGCATTTCAGTTCGTCAAGCTCATGTTGGCACGGTCATGATCATAAATTTATTAGTTTAGGAAAGGGGCTGAAGCAAATGAGGAATACAATTATCAAGTCATAAAACAAGTTCAATACAATTAAACAAGACTTGTTTTATGCTTTGACAAAGACAAATCTTAACTGATGAATGCTATACCAAAATAGAAAAGTCAATAAAATTCTTAATGGCGACAATAGAAAGGCTTGAGCTAAATTTGGTAGAAACTGGACAAAATTAGAGATTTCAGCTAAAATGGACTGTTTAAGTAAACTGAAATTCAAATAAGGAGAACCATCGCACATCAGCTTAAAACCCCGAAGAACCACATTTATCAATCTTTTGGGATTCGCGTGACTTTTTCCGCTCCGAGATATGAATAAGAATATTTCATAATGAATTCAAGCCAGCGTCTCACCTAAAATCTCTTTTACAAATTGTTAGATTCAGGAGAATCGAGTCAGTTGTACATCAAGCTCGCCTGCCCAACTCAAGATCGTCCAGCAGGTGATATATTGATGAATTGCGGGAAAGCAGTGATGCTGAGCGCTGGCGTCAAGGGAAGCTAATCTAGATGTCGCTAGAAGTACGGTTCGTTCCGCCGTCTCAAAGGAACCCTTGGCAACACTGAAAACTCGCATTCTCCGTTGTGACTTCGGGAGGGAGTATTCCGCAACTTCACTCGGTTCGGGTAGGCCGAAGTGTCCAGCTGGCTCTCGATCTTTCTGAGGTCCTTGCATGATGAGCGGGCGTGGTGTTATGCTTGGGAAGATGTGGATGTGTTCAATCGTTTAGTATAAGCTAAAGCTTTTTAAAATTCAAGTGTTTGATTGGTTTCTTGATTCCGTGACTGAAGTGAAATGAGCACCTCATTTCTTCCAAAGTGTTCAGTATGACAACATGTATTCCTTGTTATTGAATCGGCGCCCATTTTGTACCGCTGTATTTTTGCGCGCATTCGTCAAATTTGCGAAAAACATCATAGGATTGAGGTTAAGTTAATCTGGTGTAAGCTTAGGATTGCTTGTTGGTAATCATGTGGTAGTTCAAGAAAGATATTATACTGTACTGCACTTGTGGTGCATGGTACGCATTAAAACAGTTCACTATAGTTAGTCAATAAGTACCGCTGAAATTTATTTTCATTTATTCAGCTTGCATTTGGTACGGGATCGAAATTGAAACAAAACTCACGAGAAGTACCCATTACACTTACAAAATGCGCCTAGAAAAAAACTTTGCAAAAAAAGTCTGGCAGAATTTTTATTTTCCGATCAGTTGAGTATTTCGAATGTTTCGAAGCTTTTATGGCAATCCACTTCCCGAATATGCTGTGCATCACAAGAATGCAGAAGACGAAAAAATGCCGTAAGACATGAGTTATTTTTTAGCTTCTTATTCTCTCGCTTATTTCTGTGACAATTGTATAATCTTATCTCAGTATTATTGCTATTCTTGCTAATCCCTGTCATTCTTGAACTGGTTGGTCGGGAAGACGATCAACAGGAAGTTTTGAACCTTATAATATACTTTATAAGTTTGTAGTGTTTAAACTACAGTAGAATTGTCATTCGCCATCATCCGGGCGTTCGTGTATATATATAAAGCCCGCATGTATGGTTTTGACGCGGGCCGCGGAACAGCAGTTGGATTCTCTGGAGATCATTGTACTTACTTTTACCTTGATTGATTTTGAAAGACAATGGCTGAAATTGATGGGAAAAAAGTAGATGAGTTGGACGGCGGACTTCAACACCCATCTCACCATCGGATTCGAGGTTGGTTTAGCCCTGCATCTTTTCATCTTCCCAGTCGGAATTTTATCAATGTGCTCGTTATTATTCGTCTCGCCGACTCTGTTGTCGTTTGCCTCTTTCTGTTTTCGTGCCGTGGATTATCTTAGATGGTTGACGGGACTTGCTTATTATGATTAGCTTCTATGTAAGAGTGGATCTAATTAAATCAGTGTACAGGCGACTATAGACGAGGGACGTCGCGGTTTGTGAATGTACTGGACCGTAATTGGTTTCCTAATCGACTTGACCGCGTTGACGCTGATGATGCGCGATTTCTACGATTGCAACTTACAATACAGCAATACAATAGTTTCTCCGCTCTGTGAAGAAATTTAAGGAATTTGACATCATCAATTGTAGAAACGTGCCATTCCAGTTCTGCTCCAGGCACATGCATGTACATTTAACAGAGAACAATGTTGCATCGTGATGATAGTTTTGCTGCTGCGTCGAGTTATAAAAATTAAAAGTTGAGCCTTTAAAAACCTCCCAAGTGACTCAAGAACAGTGAATTGAACATTAATGCACAGGTCTTCTAAAAGAAAAAAGAAGATATTTCGGGAGAGGTTAATAACGGATGGTAGTGATGATTCATTTCGCCGGTCTACTGTTGAATCTAAGTTCGATTTCAATAAATAAATAAATCTCTTTTCTAATCAGGAACTTCTCTGTCAACAACAGAAGTGGACCCGCATGGCTCAAGCTTGAAAGTATTCAAACAATGGTCCACTCGGCAGAAAATTGTCGTATGTGCCTTAGCCTTACTGGACTTCTGCGGCTTTGCTTGCTTGTCCGTCATGGGCCCATTTTTCCCAACTGAGGTTTGCTTGCGAAGAATTCTGCAAATTTCTGAAATATTTTTATTATAAGTCTTCGAAATTTGTTGAGCACAGGCAACCGCCAAAGGAGTATCAGCCCATGTGGTTGGTCTGATTTTCAGCTGCTACGCGTTCACAACCTTTGCCACATCTCCTCTCTGGGGTAGAGTCGTGAGTACAATATTTATTTATGATGAACATTGCGGTACGGTAGTTTCGTATTTTGGAATGAACTTGATTCGTTCGCGTGTTTTTTCTGGCTTCCGCAAATTTCAGTTTTCTTCGCTCTTACGTAGGTGTCGCCTCAATCTTGAATTCTGTCCAATTGTTGCCAAAAGAAAAGCACATATAGGTCTATAATCTGCTGAAAAAAAACATGCCCGTGTAGTCGAAAAAAAAACACGAAAATAAAACTAACGATAAAGTGTTCTTAATTCTTCACATCTGTCTAAACGTCACTTTTTTATTTTCGATTAAATGTTTAATCTCTACGACAAAATTATAAAATTAATGGGACCAGAAGCCAATCGTATATAACCCCTATAACTTCAGAAGAGAATCCTAGGTGATAAAAATCGTTTTACGTAAAATAAATTTGCTTTGCAGGGAAAATCTTTTGAGAGAGTCTTACCTGTATCAAATAGTTATTTGGCATTCTTATATTGAAGCGAAATCTTTCCACGAAAAATGTACAGTATGCAGTAATAGATTTCTCATGATCAACAGAACAGATTTTATATATTTACTATTCTACGAATCCCTGCGTGAAGGACGTCTATTCCTAATCCTTGAAAATGTATGTTTCGAACTACTGTGCGTATTTTATTCCACTTTGAAATCGTAGGAGTTATTAAGAAGAAAATTATTCAATAAATCAATAATATATTTCAGCCGAAGAAATATTAATGGGGGAGTTTTCATGGTCGAAGTACTTGTTTCCTGACGCTAGGCAAAAAAGGAAACAATTAATTGTCTCTTGCTTGAATTCAGGGCGACATCTATCCAGTAATAAGTAGAACCGGGGACTCGCGATGAGAAAACATGTTCGGTTAGTTCAGAACATAATTGGGTTTAGATCGAGACGAAACCTTCTCAACATTTCAAAATTGCGAGGATGAACTTGAAATTTGGAAATCGTCACCATTTTCTTCTTCATAATTGATGAATTATTTATCATGATTGAAGGTTCCGAGATGTGGTCCGAAAGCCGTTATTATGATTGGCGGACTACTCACTGGATCTGCGTGTTGCGCTTTTGGGTGCGTTTTACAAACTATGTTTCATTTTTTCAATTATTTATTATTCAATTTGCTTTTTTCTTTGGTTGTTCATAGATTTCTTGACTTGATACCAGACACGGTGGGTTTCACTGTGGCATGTTTTACTGTGCGGATGGTCGAAGCCCTGGGATTCGCGGCATTCAACACCGCTCTGTTCACGATTGTTGCCTCCATGTTCTTGGAAACGATGGGCAGTGTGATGGCAAGTTGCTTATCTTTTCGGAGGAATCGTCCCTTTTCACGAGTTGTGGCATGCGGGTAGATCGAGAATTCAGAAAGTTCCGCCAAATTTTGTTCTGTTCCAAAAGATTTATGCGCACCGATTTATGCTGGGGGGATTTTATCCGCACTTCGTGGCATGGAATAGGCGTAGCCTGAAGAGATAATTTGCAGTTTGACATTTTTTATGCGATGGAATGTAAGAGGAAAATCGAGAATGAATTTCTCAAGGGAGTTTTTAAAACCCCTCTTCGATTTTTTTGGGTGCAAAATATGCTGTGTAATATATTACGGGAAATTCACGAAGATAGATTTTCGGAATTTCACGTGGCTTGTATGCACAAAAGTGCAGTATTGTTGAAATATTCTCATCAAATTTTCTTGCTGTTTCATTTATCTTCTTCCATTTTACGCCCCGTTCTTTGCTTATGGAATGCAAGTTTCCAGAATTGATTGCATCTGCGAGTAAAATACGAACTCGTTAAAACGAATGCTAGAACAATCACGAACAGTTCTGCATGTAGAAGTTATTCATACCCTTTAAATGCGCATGTCGGGAAATATTCGCGATTTCTCTTGAATGAAAAAAAAAGAAAGTTGGTCGCCGCACAACAAATGACTTATGTAACAAAATTCATTGAAAATTTAAAGACTAGGAACACATTTTTTCGTTGAAGTTGTATTCGACTCAATTTTTCTTATGTTGCCTCACTTTTGTTTCTTTTTCTATTGACCATAGTAATGTTCAAAATGTTCCTCTCTTAATTCCCCACAGTCTGAAAATGCTTCCGTCCATCATATTTATAACTCACATTGTCTTTCTCAAGTGTCCAAATTTAAATCAATATGAAGCTTATAATATACGGTACTGCATTTTTCTGTTCTCCAATAAGTGATTCCGCTTTTATTTCAGGCTTTGTTGGAAATCTTGATCGGATCAGGATTAGCGATAGGACCTGCGATAGGCAGTGGTTTGTACATGGTGAGTGAAAATTGTCATTGCAGTATATATTGAGTTTTTTCACAAGCAATTTTTTTTTTTTTAAAGGCTGGCGGGTATCCGGCGCCATTTGCGTTTCTTGGTGCTTTACTGCTCTGCATCGTCGGAGTGTTGTATGTGACTTTGCCCTCTGTTCGTAAGTTTTGCTGTTTCCGAACAAAATTTTGTTTCTTTCTTTCTTTTTGAATTTTTTCTTTGACGCTTACTTGTTGGCTACAGAACCCGTTTTGGAAGATGACTCCAGTGTTGCCGAGACTTATTCCACGGTGAAAGTGCTCAAGTCTTTCTCGGCCACGCTGATTTGCATGACCGTCCTGGGAAACGCGCTTGGGATTGCTTATCTCATTCCCATCCTCAGTCTTCACTTGGGCACGGTACTTGACTTATTCTTTCCGAATACAGTATATCCAAAAAGGTTTCGATGTATTTTTGTAAACGCTAACTATTTGCTGTTAATGACAATTGCGGATAGATTTTGATCGTCTGAAAGAGTATATGCTAAGCTGATGAAAATACAGTTGAACCTCTCAGAGTCACATTTGACGGGACTATTGTAAAAATCGACTCACAGAGCTTCGATTGAGGGAATTTGACTTCATTTAGGTTAGTTAATTAATGAAATTCATTTTCTTGCCAAATTATTAGGACTGATGATTATTCATAGTCGCCCCACACGTGCTGCAAAATGTCTGATCCCTTTTGGAGAGTATAACAAAAATAATTCGCACCTTTTTCTGGAAGATGTTTCTGGAATTTAGGCCCATATTCAATTTATAAAAGGCCTTAACAAATTTGACTAAGGGAGGTTTGACCCAAAAAGTTGAGTTAGGGAGGTTTAAACTTAGTTGAATTTAGGGGAATTATTTAGAAATTAACAGAAGATCTGAATTCTGAAGGTTTCAAAAAATAAGTGAGATTGAACTTGGAAAGTTCCTGCTGTAGTGTGAAGTGTTCAGTAAAAGTAATGAATGTTTTTATTTTTCATTCAAGTCATTGTACTGTATTCGTGTTCCATAAAAAAAAACGATTGCGTGAACTTTGTGCCAATTTTCTAATTTAAATTGTATGTAAGAGTGAGGCTTTATACATCATTGCATTTACAGTAGTAGTCATCAATGCATCAACAGAGAAAAATTAAAGGTATAATTTACTTCTTCAACTTTCTTGATTCCTATTCGTTTGGTCACTGGAATGCAGTGTTGAAGATTAATTTTTTCGCATTGGCCAAGATTTTTATGTTCACGTGAAATTCATGAAGGGCTATAGTTCCATTGAGCGTCATAATGAAAAAGTGGACCAGATTTCAAATTTTTTGATTATATTTCAATATTTGTTTAAGGAATTTTCTCTGATGCAGATGATATTTTTTGTATTAGTTGGGAGTGGCGGAAGAGAAAGCCGGATACATGTTCTTGTGTCACTTGGGCATGTACGCCTTGGTGGCGCCGATTTCTGGTCATTTTTCGGACAAATACCCGAAAAAGAGGTTTGCCATCATCGGGTCTGGTTTACTCCTGTTCACTGCCGGAACTTTGATCATTGGACCATCTCCTTTTCTTTTGGGCATTCTCCCTCAGTGAGTTATTTGTTCATTTTCTTTTCGTTTTTGTATTCTTCCTGTTCATATTCGAATGGAACGTTTTTTTATTGAAGGAATCTGGGAACAACGATAGTCGGTCTCCTCGTGATTGGCATGGGATCAGCTTTTGCGCTCGTGCCCACCTTTCAGTCTCTCATCACGTGCATGATGTAAGTTTAATTATTCGTTTTGAATTTTTTTTATAATTAAATTAGGAGCAGGTGTTCAACTGTGATCAATCCGTGCTAAATTTGATGAACCCTGGTTTTGAAAACTTCCAGACTTTCTTTTTCGGGTCGCTGCCTATATAATTGCCATAATTTTACAAAAATTTATTTGAATTTCTTCATAAACTGTTACGAAAGCCTTTTTCGTAGTTACGTCATACTTTTTAAATGAGATTTTACTGTATTAAGTGAACTTTTAAAAGTATTGGAACGCCAGGATTTGAAATCTCAAGGAAGAATTCTTTATATTCACATTGAAATAATTTTGCCTTTATCGTTGGATCCTTGAAAATCGATTATTCAAAATTGGTTGTAACAAGTTTCTATCTTGATATCCGTGTGTAAATGAAAAAAAAAGATGAATTGATTTACGTTTAATTTTACGAATTGAGGAAATGAAAACATGCCCGATCAGGTCTAATTTTATTTTCTCTTGAGGGCTCCTGCCTCAATCCTGAAATAACGTCTATCCAATGTTTCATTGACAAATACTGTACATTGAAAAGATGGCTGGTTGCAGTCAGAAAGATTGAACTTGAATAGTAATTGCAAAGGCTTGCATTATTTTTTGAATTGATCCACGTTATGCACAGAAATATTCTTGAGTTTTAATGTGAATGTTGAACGATGCAAATTAGAGATTTAAAATTTTTGTATGTACTGGACGTTATTTTCGAAAAGTGAAGGACCATTTTCTCTCTCCTTTTCTTCCAGAAATTTGGGTTATTCCAATAATTTGGGTACATATGCGTTCACTGGAGGTCTTTGGAATGCTGCTTGCGCACTTGGGTGAGTATTTCTCGAAGAAGTTGCCCATTTGTTGTGTTTTAAATGGATTGAGACTCTCAATCTAATCTTTTTCAATCCTTCATGACAGAGATATGATTGGTCCATCGTTGGCAGCGACAACTATGGAGTATTTGGGATTCCCGTGGTCGACCACAATTTGTTCGTGCATATTATTGGTCATTGTGAGTAGCAGAATGTGGACTTCGAAAATTCCCTATTTATTGATCTGAAATGTTCATCTTTTCACACGTCAGGGTTTGTTGTGTGTGTATCGCCATAACGTCGACCGTCCCGAGAGGAGCAGACGATTTTTGCAGCCGAGGACTAATTCGACGAACGAGACAGCGCCACTTTTGCATTGAGTACATTCCGTTTCTATGTTTTTTTTTTTTTTGACGTAATTTCGATGACGATATTCGACCCCTTTGACTGAAAGTAACTGATTTCTTGCTGATTCTTGAAATTGTGACGGTTTATTTTGTACACTTTTTCTTGTCCTGTTCAGTTTTTTTTTTTTTACAAATAAGAACATCGATTCGAAAGATTGAGCCAAAATTTTATTTCCGTTTTCAATTCAATCTTTGAATGAGCCTGGTCCTGTATACATTCCATTATTTATCATAATCGTAAAACGTACTTTTTAAATTGTCACACTTCGGCAGAAATATTCGAGCAGTTCACAGAAAAACATGTAGATCTTACTAAATAATCCATAGGCGTTTTCACTACATTAATTATTCGAAATTATTTTTTATCCAAATAATTACTTGGCAACAAAACAACGTCAATAATAAAGTGAATGTACGAAGTATAAAATTAAGTTCCTGCGCAGGGCCTGCCACAATGGTTTTTGGAACAACTTTTGCATTCACTTTTTTTTAGGAATAATTGGTAACATAAAGTACTAATTTGCAGAACATAATTTTGATCAGTTCTTTTATTTTATCAAAATTAATCATTTTTGAAGAACTTCTTGCGGATGAACTAAGTTTAATCGGCAAGGGTATTTTCCTGTACTAGTGTTCAATTTTGATTCACTTGAATAATCGTTGAAAAGTTGGAGTTTTTCATAAAACTTTTTTCGAGAACATTCGCAGCTATTTGAAAGACGAACTAATTTTGAAATTGCTACAAAATCTTTTTTGGTTCCAAAAAACGTTTTCTGTACAGTCGGTTTTTCGGAATGAAATGATTCAAATGTTTTCATGCTTCACATCGCAGGTTAATTTTTATTGAACGAAATTAATTCGTAAGTTAACATTAATTCCGAAAAACATCTAAAGTCAATATATAGAAAAGTTATGTTTCCACATTGTAGAAGACCCTCTATGGAGAATTTTTAGTGTACTACCCATTACATTACCGTCGTCTGAAGATTAGTTTCTACTTGGGTTTTCTACCCTGGAGGAAAATTCCGACTTTCGCTAAGGAAAAAATTGTACACACGTATGACTGTTACGCGCTTGTCAATTTCACGTCAAATTTTGCCTGACTGGTAACTTTGCGCACATCCTAAAAATGGACAAATTTCACAGAGGACAGTTGGTCTCATTCCGCATGCATATACATTCCTATGGTAAGGCACTCAAATTTTCCATTTATTTTATTTGAGGATTTTTCTAATACTTGATTGAAAGGTCGAGTTTTTGTTTAAATTCGGAATGTAATATACTCAACATTTCTTGCTAATTCTCGCAAAAAATAAATATGCACCATGTCTACGTGTTGATTGATTATCCGCGAACACGTTGGGCAGAACACGACAACGACTAGATTGGATTCGAAAAATTACTGGCCATTCTTACAAACGTAGCACGATTCAAGTTGGACAAATGTTCTTTGACCTTCTGCTGAGTACTTTAGGCGAGGGATGAAGCTAAAGTGGGTGCCAAGCATAAAAAAAAAGACCAAAAGAAAAGACGTACTTTTTCGCTAAAATAAAAAAAAAACACCTTACGTCGTCTTAATGACGCAAATCGGGGTCATTGAGCGGGTCGAACTTGGGCTTGCGTTCGGGGGTTTGTGGCGCGGGGGTGATGCGGAATGGCTTGTCCTCCTCCAAACAGCACGGCATGATGTATCTCCCGGGTCCCATGGCGTCCGACCGACCGAACAAGAAATTGGCGAATACGAGCAGGAAACTGTCCAAGTCCAACACGTACTGACCATCCTACATACAGAGAGGGGTCAAAAAACGACGCATCAATTTTGCATTACACCCATGGCGTCCGACCGACCGAACAAGAAATTGGCGAATACGAGCAGGAAACTGTCCAAGTCCAACACGTACTGACCATCCTACATACAGAGAGGGGTCAAAAAACGACGCATCAATTTTGCATTACACACTATATTCATATTTTGCAGGATAAGAGACAAAAACAGATTCAAAAAGGGTGGGGCCCCGAGATGCGGACGTAATTGATGCTATAGGGCCTTGTCCCTATGTCGGAGCGTCCGCATGCCACATCTCGTTTTCCCATACATTTCAATGGGAACATATTTGATTGATTAGTAAAAATTGTATACATTTTTGTTCCTTAAAGTTAAGATGCAGGAAATAACCCTACACTTACTGCTGATCTTAACATAAGCTCTTCAGTTAATATTGTTCAAGTAATTTAATAATGAACCATACTCCCAATTTTTGTGAATGAAAATAGCTGAATTTTGTAAAAGATGATATTATTTAGAAGAAGAAGTAAATTTTTCAATTGTTCAATTGGAATTCTAGAAAAATATTTACATTTCAAGACATCGTCCTAATATTGGGCAGATTTAATTTATGTCGGGTTCCCCCATTAAATATTGGGTGCTTTGGGGATTCTAATACACACAAGAACCCTACAGTATATATTTATTTTTTATTTGAACACATGTGACTAATTACTGTGCTTCCAGTTCTTTGTTCATCTGAATGTACTCACCCCGGTCATAGACAGATATCCCTGCTTGGCCATCTTATGCGCAGCGCTTGGAGCGACACCTAGGAAGCATGAGTAGAAATCTCGGAGCTCCGCCACGCTCAATCGCCCATTGCCTTCGCACCGAGAAAGAGAGAGAGAGAGAGAGAGAAAGGCACGTCGCTGCATTGCACAAACTTTCTTTGGCCAATCAAAAGGGCGAAAAAGTTATTTTTCTCCCAATGCATACCTCGTCGATTGATGGTTCTGAAAAGTATCTTGACGAGCAGCAAGATCCAGTCTGGCAAGCGGTGCACAGCAGAGCCCGAAGTGAGCACGATTTCTTTCCAGGACTGGAGCCAGGATGCATGGCCAGCTTGGTCTTCATGGGCTTGAAGTGAGCCCAGATCTCCCGGTGCATGTCCACCACAGCCACGAAATCCTCGTGGTCCGGGGTCCAGTCCGTGTAATGCCTGATTTTCTGCACATCAATGGGAACGTCGTGTTAAAAATATGAACACAATCCAGGTAATATCATTTTCGTTCCTTCACGCAAGGCTTATTTCAACAGACGAAAAGAAAATTCTGTCATCCCGGAAATTTTTTATCGTGTACCCCACTTACTTTTCCTCAAACATAGAAACCGAAAAGTGGGGTGCGTGTCATATACACAAGTACGAATATTTTCTGCAAATTTTTTAAAATCATGCGCGTTGTCTTATTTATATCACATTAAAGATTGAGTAAAAAAATTAAGAGAAAAATGAAATGCATTCTAATGCTCCTTAAAATTGAGTATATAAATGGGTGCTGTATATTTACTCAATTAGATTGTATAGTGCGAGGGGCTACACATTTCTCCGCGGACTCATTTCAGCAAACAAGGGGTAACACGGTTCCGCTCGGAATTGCGTAGTAGATGGGGACTTAAAATGACCTGAACACCAGTGATTTAAAAAAAAAAAAAATTCCTCATGTTCTACGGTATCCCAGAGGCTGGGCAGACATTTTTTCAATGTAATTGCAGCCAATTTGCTCACACTTCTCAGCCCTTTGATCCATGGTATGTGTCGAAAAAGAAGCAGCGGGGACAATACTACCCAAGCCCAAAAGGCACGAGTCCATCATCCGTTGCCCGGAGGAATCGGGCCTGAATGTCCTGAAACCACTACCCCACTTCTCTCTCCTCTCACCTGCCCCCCCCCCTGACTTTTGACTCTTTCCAGAGCTGATGGAGCCCTTATGAGAGGCAGACACTTCGAAACCAGGGAAGATAAGCTTGTTGTTCCTGTTCTGCGTGCTGGGAGGTTCAAAATTTAAGTGCTGTACAGTACTGAACACTTCAAGGCCTGTCTCAAGACTCTCAACATATGGATCAAAAAGGTCTGGCAAGTGCGAGCAGAATGGTGATGATTACGTTGAGAAGGTGTCTGCCCAGCCATTTGGAACTATAGTGAACATGAGAAGAATGTTTGAAACAATCCCTGGCGTTCAGATCATTTCAAGTCCGCATCGACACGATTCCGCGCGGAAGCGTGTTACCTCCTGTATGCTGAAATGAGTCCGTGCGGAAACGTGTCGATGCGGACTTGAAATTATCTGAACACCTGGGATTGTTTGAAAAACGTTTTACACATTTCCCCGCGGACTCTCGATTCCGCGTGGAACCGTGTTACCCCCTGTATACTCGAATGAGTCCGCGCGGCAATTAGTCCGCGGGGAAATGTGTAACCCCTCGTAGATGCATACCGACACTGTCATACGCACACCACATTTTTAAAAGTTACAAAATACAGAAATATTTACGAAAAGGAAAGAAACCGATTTTTTCTTCCAACACTCTTTGGTTCAAAAAGGTTGAAAAAGTAAAATTATATATACGCAGCACCAGCATAGGCACAGACTTCCGGAGTCTGGTTCCACCGGAAGCAAACCGCATCCCTTGGGTTCCAATCAAGGCTTCGGAGGTTCTCCCAAGGGGCACCCACACCCACTCATATATACACCCACACATCATGTACATAAACTGTACATGCTATATACACAGCATATACAGCGCTGACAATATTGCCCAACCGAGTGACACGCAGAGACATGTGCAAAACTGAGCAATACCCGACTGAATATTTCTTTGCAGAGATTGCAGAAATATAGTATGCCTGTAGATGCAGAAACAGGGTTCCCTTTGAGGCCTGTCAATATGGCACACATTCCACATACAGTGAGTAACCAATAAACAAAACTGATCCATTTCTAGCAGCCGTATGAGATTTGTCAAGTGAAACACAAATTTGCTCACGTTCCAGGTGACAAATTATTACAGCAGTTTTGGGCAACTCACAAATCATCATTGAACAATTTTGGAATTTCTGCGCATTTCAGGAAGTTTTTCTTGTCTTGTTTTTTGCCACATGAAAAAAACACACACACAATGGAGAAAATGGTCCATATTTGTCCTATTACCGTATTTACTCAAGTACCACGCACACCTTTTCTCTCAAATTTCAGAAGGAAAAAAGGGGTGTGCATCATAACCCGGTACAAAATTTGCAAGAAGTTTTAGGAAGTTGTATGTTAATTATACTTGATTATAATTGAGAAATTTGTGACAAATTTACCGAGAAAACTTTTTTTTTTTTACTGAAAAATGATCAGATTTGTGTTCAATTCATGTCTAAAGTCAATTTTTTGTTTTTATTTTCAAAAATTTGTGGTTTTAGAGTCACTGAAAATGGGGTGCACGCATTACTTGAGGATACAATTTTAGCCAAATTTTGAACTGAAAAACCCCTGGGCGCCTTACTTGAGGGCGCAGGGTACTCAAGTAAATACGGTATTTCTTCAAAGAGATGGTGAAACAATCTTTTCATCAATACTGTGCAGTACAGTGGACCCCCAACTTACAATGGGCCCATGTTACGTCAGTTTCAACTTACAATGCTTTTTTTAAATAAAAAGACCCCCAACTTACGTAGGGGTTTCATGATACTGTACAACAGCTTCTGAGGTTTTTCAGCACCCTCCCACCAACCATTTTTTTGGTGCCATGCATGCACAAAAGGTTTTCCTGTGAGGAAGTGAGTTTTTTTGTGCCAAGGTTCATTCCTATAACCAGATTAAACAGTGTGAGATGGTGCCATGCACAGGAAATAAATTGTCCTTAAGTTTGGACATTGCTGTGTTTGGAGCATTTTTTAAATTTTGTGTGTACTATGTACAGTTCATTTCATTATTGCTGAATAATTGTGTTTAGGAGGGATTTTGAATTTTGTGTGTTCAGTACTGCCCTGTGCATTTAATTATAGCTGAATAATTTTGTTTAGGAGGAATTTAAGTTTAGGAGGAAATAGAGGAATTAAGAAGATGAAATATAAGGGTAATTTTAGTTTAATATTTTTTTTGGGAACAAATTAATTTTTTTATAATGTAACCTTAAGGGAAATTGGGTTTCAACATACAACGGCCCCATGTCACGACGTCCATCCTGGAACAGATTGATGACGTAAGAAGGGGGCCCACTGTATAGAAAAGTCAGGTGATGATATGATACTGTACCTGAAATGTTCAAATGGGTAGCGCTCAGTTTTCCCCTGATGGCGCTCAATTCGGCTATGGCCCTTTCGACCTCGTACCCACTCTCATATATGCAGCACTAAGGCAGTGGAATGCGCAGTAATATGCGAACACTAAACTAGGCCCCCCAGTTAATCCAATTGTTCTTCCCGACGGCTTTTGTACAGCTGACATTCCCCTTGGGTGACCTGACGTCCGCACCCTATACTGTAGTAGAACTATGTGTATATATACACAGAGGGGCACAGCACAGATGCGGACGAACAGTAATTACATCTCAGAATGTGTCCATTCGTCAAAACGTCCGCGTATTGGACCATACACAAGGGTCATGTTTTCCCATCATAGACTCCAAGTAAAGATGAAATTTTTGATCACTTCTCATGTTTGGTAAAAAGAAAAAAATTAATTCTTGCCAGTGCATCAAAAATTCAATAAAATGTTTTTAAAATTAAAAAACTGTGCGGAATTAAGCAAAAATATCTTACAGTTGAAATAAATAAATAAAAAACGCAGAACATCATTAGACTGTACACTGGCGATGAACAACTCTAAAAAGATAAGCACCAAATTAGCCTCTTTCAGAAAATTAAATTTAAAACAATTTATTAAAAAGTATATTTTGAATTTTTTCATATAGAAATATAACCCCAACTCTGTAAACAACATTTGTTTACACCACACTTGATTTTCTGTCTTTTTGGCATTATCAAAAGTTATAAAAATCATACAGTATTTCCATTGTTTTGAATTTTTCTGGAAATTTCGACAAAATGTCCATATCTTGGAATTGTCCAGCTACTGCATGGGGCTCATTATTCCTTTATTCCATGATTAAAATTGGCCACACATCATGGCCCCACTGTATTGCATTTATATGTGCAATTATAGTAACAATGAGGACTAGACACCCCTTAGAGTAGAAATTTTACATATTTTACTCAAAATAAACAGCTACATTTTACTGTATAGGCATGCACAGGTCACACCGTCACAGTGATATGTAGCATGAAACACTTCTATAACAATAAGTCACATCAACCAAATGCCAGAAATTCCAGCCTGCAGCATATAAAGCCAAGCTTAGTATAAAGGGTACTCCATGAAGATAAATGACGCATTTATTGAAATATCTGCATAGGAATTGTTACGAATGCGAAAAAACTATACGCTCAGGAATTTCGCCAAAGTGCGATATTTGATTGTGGTGAGCTTTTCTCACCAGGCACCTTTGTGGTGCATCCTCTCCTCGAAAAACCCACTCATGCATAATACCCAAAAGGGCAGCCATGCATAGTTTACGAATAATAATATGCGTATCTTGAAACAGTGTTTCAAGACTGATGCTTATCAGGTAATGTAAATTTTACCCTTTCAGTCAGGAGACCCGCATATTCCACAGATTCAGTACTTTCTCAACCAAGTTTCGAAAGCAATGAACTGTATATCATTAAACTCTTGCCCCTAAATCTAGGACCCACAATTTG